CACAGATCGAAGCAGGAGTTTGAATCCTAGGGGATCCTCTCCACAGGATTAGCAGATCACATTTATCACAGTGAGGCAGTGGTTTAGGATCAGGTAGATGAATGGCAGAGCTTGTGGCTTGTGATCTGTCCTCTGGGTAGGAGCACTGAAGGAGAGGACAGAAAAGATGGGGGTTAAATAGGGGCTGGGAGCAGAAGAAGCCACCAGGGAAGGAACCTGGGCCAGAGAGAAGCTCAGAAGGAGGAGAGGAGGGTGGAAAAGGAAAGGAGCAAATCTCCACGGTCTCTGCCAGAGATGAAATGGAAAAAGAAATTCTGTGCAGCAGTTTCAGCCCAGAACAGAGGGAGCTGCACGGGCTCCTTGAGCTGCCCGAGTGCATTTCGAACAACAAAAACAGCAAGCTCTGACAGGGCCAGGAGACTCAGGCGGGCGTGGAGGGGGGAGTGGAGGGAGCGGCTGCAGGCCTGGGGGAAGCAGAGTCCCACAGGCAGGGCACACTCCTGCCCAGCCACATCCACACTGGCACTGCCCTTGCTGCTGGTGCACCGCCCCTCTGGCAGGCTGATCGCGGGTTATGTAACCTTTCCCGACTGCTCTTTCCTCCGGACCAAGTGAGGTTGCTCTCCAGCTTCACAGTAAGGGAACAGCCTGAGCAGCCTCTCCCCGAGCTGCCCAGAGGGACACAGCCAGCCCCCACCTCCGAGCAGCAGATCCTGCCCCACTGCCACCCCCGGCGAGCTGTGCTGGCAGAGCTGGCACCCAGGACATGGCACCAAGCCCCGATGGGAGGCTGCAGGCCCTTGGCCAGGGAAGGAGATAGTTGGATCATGGGTTCTTCCTGCAGGAGCAACTGGTGGATGAAGCTTGGAGCACCCACTCACACGTGGGAGCAGAAACAGGGGATAACACACTGCACCAGTGCTTTATGCACCTAACTCAAAATAAGCTTTCTTTACAAAAAAAAAGAAAAATCTAAGAAGAATTCTTTTTCTCTCTCTCTTGTTGTTGTTGTTGTTGTTGTTGTTATTTTGAAGTTATAAATTATTGAAAGACTTCTCACTACTCTCCCAAATCATTCTCGGACAAAGAAAAGGCAGTTCTACCTTCAACAGTGCCTTGTAACAAAACGAGTCAGATTCATATTGCTCATGATTTGCCCTTGCCTCCCTTTGTCCATGTCCTAAACTACATCCTGGCTTGGTCTGATTAGCAACATCTCCTCAGAGGCAGAGGAGGTCCTGCAAGAGCTGGAGGTATTGCAGGTCAAGATTAAAGTGCTCTGCATGCCATTCACTGTAAAAACTATAACTGGCTTAACTCAGTGCAATTAGATGGCTCAGAGGTTACGGAGTAACGGCAGCAGTGTTTCAGTGCAGCTGATTAGTACAGCCCTGGCATTAAGGGATGTGATTAAAAGGCAGTGTCAGGGCTGAGACCTGGCAGAGGAGCTCAGTAGGCAGGGTTAAATCCATTGCTTCTTCACGGGGTTGGACGCCCCAGGGCCTGGAAGATATCTCTCAAGTATCAGCTGAGCCAGCTCAGCTTTTAGGTCTGGAATGCCATCTTGTGATGGCAGTGGGGAAGTGGCAAGAGCCCCTCTGTGGATTCAGAGATGATGGAATTACAGAATGGGTTTGGTCAGAAGAGAACATAAACATAATTTTATTCCTCCCCCTGCCTTGGCAGGGGCACCTTCCACTGTCCCAGGCTGCTCCAAGCCTTGTCCAACCTGGCCTTGGGCACTGCCAGGGATCCAGGGGCAGCCACAGCTGCTCTGGGCACCCCATGCCAGGGACTGCCCACCCTCCCAGGGAACAATTCCTAATTCCCATTATCCCATCCATCCCTGCCCTCTGGCAGTGGGAGCCATTCCCTGTGTCTTGTCCCTCCATCCCTTGTCCCCAGTCCCTCTCCAGCTCTCCTGGAGTCCCTTTAGGACTTGGCAGGGGCTCTGAGCTCTCCTTGGAGCCTTCTGCTCTCCAGGTGAGCACCCCCAGCTCTCCCAGCCTGGCTCCATGGCAGAGGGACTCCAATTCTGGGAGCATCCCCTTGGCCTCCTCTGGACTTGCTCCAACAGCTCCATATGCTTCTGATGCTGGAGCAGCTCTGCAGGGGGATCTCACCAGGGCAGAGTAAAAGGGGACAGTCCCCTCCCTTGCCTGCTGCCCACTCCTGTACGGTGCAGCCCAGCATAGGAGGGTTTCTGGGCTGCCACTGCACATTGTTGGTTCATGTCCAGCTTTTCATCCATGATACCCTCCAAGTCCTTCTCTGCTGGTCAATGAGCTCTTCTCCCATCTGTGCTCATGTCTGGGATTGCCCTGGCCTGGGTGCAGCACCTCAGAGTACTGAATCTCCCAAAAGAGAAAAGGCACTATAGAGGCCATAGCTGCCCCGCCACTTCTGCGGCGTGGGAGCCAAGCAAGGCTGGTGTCACTCATAGGGCAGTGCAAGCATCAACACCCACAAGGTGTCATCATCATGGTCCCCAGCCGTGACAGACACCAAGGGGACAAAAGTTCTCACCGGAGCCCGAACCGGCTTGGCTGTGGGGCTGTAGGTGACCATCATGGTAAATGATAATGTACGTCCACAAATCTTTTCTTCCATAGCTTTACTGAATTTTCTTCCTCTCCCCACAGTACTACTCTGCCTTTTTCTCCAATGACTGACAGTGTGGCCAAATGGCATTAAGCTAAAATATGATCATACTGAAGGATCACAGTACCAATCCTGCAGTGACAGAGCTGGAGGTGAGCAGTGACAGGCAGGCAGTGAGCCCTGGGCATGGGTGTGTTCAGGCCTGAGGTGACAGTAAAGGATCTCTCTTGCTGCCACAGAAGCTGCAGACATTGTTACATGGGGGGATATCCCACTCCAGGCTTGGAGCACACAACCTGCCAGTGCAAATCTCTTGAGTGGATGCACTGTGCCAGCAGACAGTGCTCATGTCCTGGTTTAACCCATCCTGCTAATTTATGGGAGCAAAATCATTCAGATGTGATTCCTCCTTTATGCTGTAACTGAACAGTCACTTGACAGAGGTTAACCAGGTTTCTGGAGCCCGTTGAGTTGCTTTGAACGCAAACTGCAGGGCTCTGCTGGGATGCAGGGAGCTTAGGGGAGGCTGTGTCTAGACTAGAGGAACTCTTCTGAAGGCTAGCTGGGCTTTTGTTTCGTAGTAACTCATATCTCTAATCTGGCTTGGAACAAAGCATCTCAGTCCCTTCAGGCCCGCCACAACATTTGCAGGAAAAAAGAAGGATCTGTTTAGCACTCATCAAGTCAAGATGAACAACAGGGACTGCCTGCAACTGATGCAGAGAGCACACTCCTGTGACAGAAAAGGGCTTCAGTCCCATGGCAGAGCTGCTGTTTCATCTGCTTTGACGCTTTTCACCCAAAGTTCACAAGTGATGTGCAGGCCTTTGTTTGAGGCCCCCTCCAAGGCAAGCATGCAGAGCAAAAGCTGTGCACACAGAGGGAGTCTATACTGGGAAGTGAGAGACTGGTTATGGCACTAAGGGTTGCTGAGTTCTGGTATTTGGCATTTAGGAAGCTTTTGAAGTATCTCCCCAGTCCTGCTGAAAATGTTTTGTTAAAAGAGACAAAGCATATTAATTTGGACCCCATGCTGCACTAATGAATCAAACAGTTCCAGACTGAAGCTGTGGCTTAGGGTCTCGGCAGAGTCATCATCCATCTCAGTGTGGGCACGTCCCTTGGCCATGGGCAGTGAGATCTCCAGGAACAAGAGCACAAAGTGCTCTGTGTCTGCTCTTACCTGTCTCTCCACCAGACACCTTTTGCTGTGCTGCACTGGACATAACTAAGAAACCTGTTCCTCACCAGGCTCATCACTGACAGGGGAAGCACCAAGCTCCTTCTGCTCAGCACCAGCTTCTCTCCCTGCATGCAGCCATGTCCTGGGCACAACGAGCCCAGAGCTTCCCGGGACAGAGCAGGATCAGGCTGAGCTGGGGAGGAGCACCCAACATCCAGGAAGAATAGCTGTCTGCCTTGGGCTGAAAACAGACCGTGAAACATTTGAAGAAGACAGAGCTGGAGTGGATGACAGCCTGAGGCAAGGCACAGCTCCAGCTGAGTTCATTGCTGAGCTCTGAGAGCATAAGCACATGAGGAGCATGGGGGAAGGATGACAGGCTTGCTGGAAAGGCCTTGAAATGTCTCACTGGAGCACAAAGCGCAGAGAAAAACTTCCTTTGAATGGAGCCCCAGTGAGGGACATTACCATTTTACTGCTGTGCCCAGACCAGACATGGTTACACAGAGCACTGGGCTGACGTTAAGGCATCCAGTGGAGGCCAGGGAAGGTGTGGAATTGTGCTTCTCCCAGCAAGGCACTTGGCAGCACCACAACTTTTTATCTCCTTATTTCAGGGCTGGATTTTTGTTGCTGGCAGCTGTTTCTGAGCTGACACTTCTACCTCCTGTGCCTGAAGCGGGACACATCAGGGGCAAGCAGACGCAGCTCACTGGCCCCCTGCTTCCCATAAGCTGGTGCTTGAATTCAGTTCTCCTAGCTCCAAAGATCCTGTGTTTCCTGCTCTGGCTCTGTCAGGGATGCAGGAAGTGTCCAAGGCCAGGTGGGACGGGGATTGGAGAAACCTGGGATAGTGGAAGGTGTCCCTGCCCACGGCAAGGAGTGGGACGAGACGATCTTTAAAGTCTGTGCCAGCCCAAGCCACCCTGTGAGTGGTTATCGAGGGTTTTCCCCGCCCGGGGGGCGCGGCCGAAGCGAGCGGGGCGGTGCCTGTGGGATCACCTCGGCAGCGCGGCCGGTTCTGCTCCTCTTGCGCCTCCGCTGCCATGAGGGCGAGCAGCGGCTCCGGCGGGTCGGCTCCCTCAGCTCACCGCCGTGAGGGCGAGCAGCGGCTCCGGCGGGCCGGGCTCGGCTCCCTCGGCTCACCGCCGTGAGGGCGAGCAGCGGCTCCCGCGGGCCGGGCCCGGCTCCGGCTCCCTCGGCTCACCGCCGTGAGGGCGAGCAGCGGCTCCGGCGGGCCGGGCTCAGCTCACCGCCGTGAGGGCGAGCAGCGGCTCCGGCGGGCCGGGCCCCCTCGCCATGAGGGGCCGCCGCCGCCATGAGGTGAGAGGGGGAACAGGGCACGGGTGGCGGCGGCAGCGGGGCTGGGGACGGAGATACATGATTTAATTTAGCTGTTACTGCGGGCCAGCAAGCGCTGCAGCCCGTGGTGCCCCGGGACTGGGGGTGTTGCTCGGCTGTGCTGTTCAGCATTAATTCCTCAGCCTTTCGCTCGATTTGCTGGCTTTTGTCCTCTGCCACAAGCCAGGCCGCTGCTTTTGAGCTTTCTGAATACAGATGGAAGTGATGGATTATTTGCGATGTTTCTGCTGTGCTCTCTTTAGGCCTTCAGCCGATGGCGGGCTCGCGGAGGTCGGAGCCGCCCGAAGGAGCAGCGCTGAGCTGGCCCGGCCCCGCCGTGTGCGAAACCCCCGAGCTGTGCTGGGACAGCCAAGGAGGCTCTCCAGGAGGGCACTAGAGCCTGCGGAGAGGAGATGTGAAGGGATAACCCGCCCGTGAGACACGGGGAGAGCTCTGGAGCCACGTGGGTGAGTTGTGACCCTGAGCCAGCAAGGGAAAATGGGAAAAAAGATCTGTTTTGCTGTCTTGAATTAACTAAAAGGCATCTGCTGGCTCTTGTGTTAGCCTCAGGTCCTCAGGGTGGAGATGACATGGTTTATCCAGCAATAGGTTTAGTTTATCTATTACTCTTGCTGGATGAAGCCTTGATGAGAGTAGGTGGCATCAGAGAGGTGCCTCCACTTTTTTTCTGCCCTGTAAACCCTCCGGTTTTGTTTTGGTTTTTTTTTTCTCCCAGCAGAAGTCAGCTGCCCGTGGCTGCTCAGTGCCTGTGCCAGTGTTATGCTGCTGGGAGAGAAAGGTGCTGCTGAGCTTTCCTGGCACCAGTGGGGCTGTCCTGGTGCTCAGTGGTGCCAGGTTTTGGCAGCACTCTGCATGCCTGAGAGTGGAGTAACTCCTGTCCATGGAGTTAGAGCCTAGATTGGATGCAGACAACACACAGAAAATGGAAAATTCTGTTCCACATATTTTAATGTGCATCTTTTACATAAAAATAAATGTCAGCTAATTAACTGTTCAGTTCTAAGGGTGGAATAGGAGTCCTCTTTTCAACTGTCTTTATTGGGTTTTTATCACAGGTAAATTGTTGGTGTGGGGCTTGCTGGAGTGAGCAGCAGGAGTGGTCAGAAGTAAAGCTGTCAATGCTGCTTTGAAGATCCTTGTTTGAAAGGTATTGGGAAGATGGAAACCTGGAGCCCATAGTTTAAACAGGGCAGCTGGAGAAGAATTTTCAGAATGTGGATGTAGGAATTGGAAACATCAAAGGTGGCTTGGGGCAAGATATAACAAGAATTAAGTGTACAATTCATTGTTAATATTCTCTCATTGCTTGTTGGAAATACAATTTTATATGACCTCAATTAAATGTATTTACATTTAAGCTTACTCAGTTTGCTTTTCATTATCTTACAAGGCTGTTTGGTGCAGCAGGATTTGAGAGTGGTGTTGAATTCTCGTGGGAGACTGGAGAGGCTGTAGTGAAGCACCAGCTCTCATCCCTAGGCTGGGGGAAGTGAGCCCACAAAGGAAGGTTGGAGAAGGCTGACCATGAAGGCAGGATGACCATCAGGGATTCAGACAAAAATGGTGTTTAAATGCAAAAGTTGGAACAAAAGGAGTGTTTTGCTCTCAAAGATGAGAGTTGGATTCCTTACAATCTTCTAGGACACCCTGTTTTTGTGAAATAATCCACATTGCATAAATGTCCCTGACACTTAGTTTAGCCATGAGCACTTCTGCCACCTGAATATCCAGAGCTTTGAATACACACTTTTATACTGTATATGGGAATATATAAAATATATTAAAATGCTAAAATATAACAATTGAGGAATAAAGGTTTTTCCTGGTTGAAGCCTGAGTTGTGTTGTTTCTGTAGGAACAAGTCCTAACTGCAAAACTAATCAAGGGTTTCCCCGTTATGTTGTGCCCAGCAATTTTCCTCTTTCCCAGGGCTGGGTGCCTGCTGCCCTAACGGTGAGGGGCGGGGGGGTGTCACTACAGGACATGAGAAAACAACGCACACCTCTGCTCTTGTGACTGTATAAGGAGAACCTTTTATTTCTCCAACATTTATAGTTTTCCAAATGTGACAGTGGATTGGAGGGTGAAAGTGCCACCTCTCCAATGACATCGGACAAACTACCAGTCCAAATGTCTCCTCCTCTATGAATGAATGCAAAACAATAAGTTATTTACAGAAAGTTGTGTGAGAAAGTTTGCTACAACAATGTAAACTCATAAGGCTTTAGAAAATCTTAAAAAATCTGGGCAATGGGGAGGGGGGGGGGGGTCCTGCCTGCTGACAGACAAGGAACACTGTCAGGGGGCTCTGCTGCTGGAGCAAATATTCCCAAAAGAGGCAAAAAATGGGGAATATGGGCTCTTTTCCCAATATCCCATCCATCCCTGTCCTCTGGCACTGGGAGCCATTCCCTGTGTCCTGTCCCTCCATCCCTTGTCCATTCTCTCTCTCCAGGTTTCCTGGGGCTCCTCCAGGCCCTGCAAGGCCACCCTGAGCTCAGCCCAAAGCTTCTCCTCTCCAGGTGAACAATCCCAGCTGTGCCAGCCTTTCCTGCCAGCAGAGCTGCTCCATCCTCTGCTCATCCTGGAGCCTCCTCTGGCCTGGCTCCAGCAGCTCCAGCTCCTCCTGTGCTGGGCCAGGGCTGGGGCAGCTCTGCAGCTGGGGGCTCACCTGAGCACAGGGGCAGAATCCCCCCAGCCCTGCTGCCCACACGGGGCTCAGCCCTGGGCACGGAGGGGGTCTGGGTTCCAGGGCATGTCCAGCTTCCAGCTTTGTGCACAACTGGAAAATAAAAAATAGAGATATCCTGAAGGTTCTCCAGTGGTCAGCGCAAGCACAGGCTTGGGGGTCTGGCGCTCAGGGTGTCACCTCTGGCAGGAAGGAGACAGTCAGCACCGTGCAGCTCCTTCTGCAGCACAAAGGCGATCCATAAAGGTCAGAATGATTCACCTTGGCCCTGCTCTGGTGCCTTGAGCACAGACACCAAAGGGAATTGGGAGAGAACCCATGAGGTCCAAGACTGGCAGTGAAATAAAGCCAGGAAATGGAGCAGGACCTGCCTTTGTACTTGGGAAATGACAACGTGATTTATGGTTCTGTTTAGGAGCACCATACATTTTGCAATCTAAATATGACTTCTGCTAGGCAAAAGTGGCTGAATTGCTTTACATTTGCTCTGCTTTTACTGCTCTGCAGCACCACAGCACAGGATTGTTAACTGAGATTTATGGGCTTGTTTTTGAGCACTTAATTGTTTTCTTACCTTGAGCTTGTTAAGAGCTGGATTTCTTGTGATTGTTCTCTGAGCATTTTTATATTATTTCAACATGTATGTTGTACCACTTCCATTTTTTAAAAATACCTTGTGTTATTGTTTCATTGTGCTCTCCAGCTATTCACAGAGAAGAAAAATCAGCCTGTGATGAACTGAAGAGGCAGATTTTTCCTTTCCCCTGGAGCTTTCCCTGAATTCACGTACATGCCCTCACCTTCGTAAAGCTGCTGGAGCACAGCAGTTTCCAGGCTAATGGAGAAACCGATTCTTTAGCCACAAAATTAAATAGGGAAGAAAGATGTTGACTATGAAATAAATCCAAATAAACAATAGTACTTGAGGGGTTGTAAAAGTACTTTGGTCACAACTCAGATTTCAGGAGGGCACCAGTACAGGGACCTCTCCTCATCCAGCACAAGGTGGCAATGTTGGATCAGAGGAACAGCACAGCCCTGCACACGGACTGCAGGGCCTTTTTACCAGAATCTTCTAACGAGCCTCACAGCCAGCGAGAGCCGAGTTTTGAATATTTTAGCGATGGCGACACCTGCGTTGTGCTGAGGAGAGCGGCCTCGGGCTGGGCGGGGCTGGCTGCCCGTGAGAGTGCCCTGGGACACAGAGAACAGCGTGGGACCGGAGGATCCTGTGGCTATCCCGGACACCCGGGGTACCGGACACCTTGGCTCCCCCGGCACATGCCGCAGCGGCGGTGCCACTCCCCGGAAGCGGCCGAGGGGAGCCGCGAACCCGGGCCCCGGGCCCCGCGCTCCTCCCGGGGGGCGTGGCCGCCGCCCCGGCCCGCCCCCGCGCCTTCCCATATTGCCCCGCGGGAGCGCGGACAATGAGCGGGGCGCGGGCGGCGGGCTGGCGGCGCGCGGTGCAACGGCGCTCTCGCGAGAGCACGGTGAGCGGCCCGCACCTCTCGCGAGAGCCGTACCGGCTGCGCCTCCTCCCCGTCCCCATCCCACACCCCACATCCCTCACGGCGGGCGGGGCGGGCGGTCCCGGCCAGCGGCGGGAGCGGCGCGGACTCATCGGCGATACCGGAGCCGAGCGGGGCGGCCGCCGCCGGGCACGTGAGCAGGCGGGCAGCGGGCGGGCGTGCTCTCGCGAGCGCGGCGGACCGCGCGCGGGGCTCGCGCATCCGCTTCAGTCCCTCTCTCCTTCCCTCGGTTCCGCCGTCCGTCCGTTCCTTTCCCCCGCCGCTGGCGCCGCACCGAGCGGAAGGCGCCGCCGCGTTCCGTCCCCGCCGGCCCGCAGGTAGGAGCGGCGCCGCGCCCCCGGCCCGCCGCCATCTCGGGGTCCGGCGGCGGCCGCCCCGCCGTGAGGGGTGGGGGGCGAGGCGGGAGCGCGCGGCGGGGGGGGCGCGCGGCGGTCACGCGCAGGCCCGGCCCGGCCGGTGCCGTGGTCCCCGGGGCGCCCCCGCCCGCCGCCAACCGGAACTGCGGGCGCGCCGGGCCCGAACAAAGCCCCGGCCCCCCCGCCGCCGGTCCCGGGGACAGCGGCTCCCGCTCGGCGCTTTCTGCTGCCTGGAGCTGTCCCCTGCCCACGCTGCCGGCGCCTGCCGCGGCCTCGCAGGCGGCCTTGTTCCCCCCTCCTTCCTTAACTCTCTGAAGGCCATTGGATTCTGAATCTGCTGGTTTTGATGCCTATCTGGCCTTAAGAATTAATGAAGTGAGCAACAAGAATCCTGACTGTGCAGGCAGCCGTTTGACCTCTCTTTCTACTCAGTTTCACTTTCATATATTTCAGGCTGTGCTTACAAATCAAGCTGCGGGGATGTTTTTTTTTCCTTCCTGTGGCGGACTGATAACGTTCCGTTTCTTTAATGTACACACTCGGCTTCCAGAGTCAGAGTAATGAGATACAAAGTTCACCTATTCTGAAAACAACCAGAAGTTGAAAAGAATTTTCTGGGAGACTGAAAAACTGCTTTGTTAAATGATAAATGAGGCATTTATGCTGTTGAAAGAAAGCTGAACCATCCCTCAGATTCCAAATATGTGCCTGCTTTTCTTTCCACGATGCAGACCGTTGGGAAAAAAGTATCTAATAGGGGTTCAAACTGTTGAACAATCTATTCTTTTTTCTCAGCCTTAAATTCTTCAGGTTTTTTGAATTGTAGGTGGTCCTGACTTCCTGAAGTCAGATAAGTAGGGAGCAGCTCTGGTCAAAAATGTAAGTTTCTTAAAGCAGTCTGTGTAGTTTTCATGGGGAGAAGAAAAGGGTGCATTTTCAGAATCTTCATTACAAAGAATCTATTGAGCCAGTGATTTAATCTTCTTGTATTTTGAAGTGTTAATATTTTAAGCTTTCAATGTACTAAAATGGTGAATTATTTTTATGTGTAGTGGAGCATACTCACATTTTTATTGTGTTCCCAAGAAATCAGTGTACTTTTGTCTTCAATTTTGTCAAAAAAAAACTTTACAAAATGATTTATTACTAAACTATGAGTGAAGATAACTGGCACACAGACCTTGGACATGTTTGTGAAGTAACAAGCTGGTGTCTGTACTTCTGCATTATGCAGTTGGTGTTGCATACATCCTGGAACTAAATGATGGGAAAACAACCCCAGACAAACTCCTAAATGTGTCCTTAAAATGTGGATATCCATGTTCCTGCAGATAAAAACTGGAAATTAATTAAAGAAGGGGGAAGAAGAGTCCGTGTTTGGGGCTCCAGACTGAAGTTTCATACAGCTGTTACATTATAGCCACTTGGTTTATGCAGGACTGTAGTTAAATAAAAACACTCATTAATTGGGTGAGAAATTAGGAAAAGCTATGTGCTGCCCTTTGCTGTGACTTGTACATGTCTCTGCTGAGAGATTTGGTGAATACAAAGGTATTTTATAATGTAATACTCAACAGGCTTTGGGTGGCTTAGCAAATCTGGGGGAAAAGCTGTTGCAAGCAGAGCTGCAATGAAATTATTTCCATTCAGTTTGTTAATTTATGAGTGGTTTTTTTAGTGTTGCTTCCTTTCTTCATCAGCTCTGAGTCAACAAGTCTTAAAAACAAAAGCAAATACTTCACTATATTTCTGAACTCATTTAGTTTGTGAGTGTTTAAGTACCATATTGTGCAGTCATAATTTCAACAAAAGGGTTTTTATTTTGAGCACTGAACCAATGAAACAGTTCTTTGATTTTTCTCTGCAGCTAGAATACTTCTTGCAACCTCAAGTAGGATTTCAGCTGGGAAAGACCAGGATTTTATCCCAGCTCTGGAAAAGCCTGGAGGCAGATGGAAATTCAGGTTACCATATCAGAACACACAACTGTTCTGTGTGAGGTTTTTCTTTTTTTTTTTTTTAATGGTAAAAATTGGTCTGGGAATTCTTCTGGGGTTGGTATCAAAATTTTGGTGTCTGAGGGGCTGTTGGTCCGCACACCTGCTGGGAATGAAGAAGAATTGTGTCCTTGTTGTGCATAAGGACACAGTTGTGTTGCCAGAGTTTCCCAGTGAAATTCCACAGAGACTCTGATTTTGGCAGAGCCCCTCTGTTAGTGGCTCCAAGGAGCATTTTGGAGCTGCAGGAACCTGTGTGC